TTGCAGCCCACGACCTGTGTTCGAAACCGGTCGGTTTCTAGGGTTCACTCAGCCTCTAGGTAATGAGTACAAGAGGTAACACTCTGGGTAAATGGAGGAACGTCGGTCGCTGTAGCTACAGAGCTGCGTGCAGACGGCGACACCGGCGGACAGTTTCTATCAGCTGTCCGTACTGGTGGCAGAGCACTTGTGATTTTTAACCGTATGCAACAACGCTGATTAACATCTCCCGACTTTACCTGTTTTTACCTTTAAGGACTGCATTTATAAGTGATATGCCCTATTTAATTATGCCCCGTTCTGCGGGGAAAGACCGAGTCATATGAGATAAAACTTGCTGCAATGAAGTCGATCCTCTCGATCAAGTATCTGAGAAAACAGTGAAACAAATCAAGAAATAAACTGTGCGGTCTTTTAAGTTTATAACCTTTTGTGCGGCTATATATAGCCAGTGCATTTTCATGGCACTTGGTGGGTAATGTGATGAACATCACACTAGCTGTCTTTACCTGGTACCAATTTAAGGCTGGGTTGAGCTGGAAGCCAAGGTAATTTAAAAAAAAAATAAGGCCTGGCTCTGCTTGGATTTGAGCCAACGACCTTCAGATCCACAGAAGAGCATCTAACCGCTACAGCCCCCCCCCCCCCCCAAACTGTGCGTGTTTGTTTTTTAAATCCAGAAACCATGAGTTATAATCCCTTTAGGCTCAGTACCCTTCGGCCATGATTCCATAATAGATACTGTAAATCTGGGAAATATGTGACTTTTCTGCCCACCCCCAAGCGTGAACTTGGACCACAAGGAGTTCCTTATTTTGTCGCTGCACCAACTTAGCTAGCGCGCCGGGCCCCCTATTTGTTTAGACTCAGAATTGTTATAGCTTAGTTGCATGAAGCCTGAACAGATTGAAAAGGGTGCCACCTGACCTAGTAATGAGATGATATATCCCTTAAGTGGCAGTCCCACAAGCACACCAAAGCAATGTAGTGACGATGCCAAACAATGTGGTAGCTAGAACCCAGCCCTGATTAAAAAAATCTCAAAGGATGATGATAAATAATTTTTATAACGATGGCTCCTTTCATATTCCTATGCAAGGTTCAATAAGGCACAGTAGTATGGATGGGCAACTGTATTTAGCAAAGATCTTGAAAAGACTCTCTCTGCTAACATAATCAACAGCCTGAGTGAGATCTATAAAGACAATAATATACAGTGACTTCTGTAGCTCCCTGCATTTTTCTTGTAGCTGCCTGATGGAGAAGTTCATATCTAGTGATTCTCTCTAAACCCTCTGAAGGAGAAGTTCATATCTAGTGATTCTCTTTAAACCCTCTGAAGGAGAAGTTCATATCTAGTAATTTTCTCTAAACCCTATAAGGAGAAGTTCATATCTAGTGATTCTCTCTAAACCCTCTGAAGGAGAAGTTCATATCTAGTGATTCTCTCTAAACCCTCACTGTGATTCTGGATATATACTGTCTAGAACCCACAATCTCTCCATGATCAGGCTTGTTCTGAAACAAGACATAAAGACTGGAAGTGGACAAACAACCAGAACTTTCTGCCGGAGTTAACAGCCGGTGAATGCAAAGAAGAGGAATTAACTAACAAATATTCACTTTAAAAACAATTTATTAGAAGATAACAAATTATATACAAATCATGGCAGTTGACATTAACAGAGGGATGGCTATTTTACAATGTAAAACTACAACAACATGTCAACACATTTTCACAGAGAAAACATAAAAAAACTGACAACAAACTTCAAACATGGCCTGTCTAATAAACTGCTGGGTACTGTATATTGTAAGTTTACAGATGACTTTAAATAACAAAAAAGAATGGTGCTGCGAGGAGTGACCAGGGTATCTGACAGACATTCAACACTCTGGGGAAGGGCCAGACTGACATACAATCAGACTGTTATTGATACCATCAGAACTGGAACTCTACACCTGCTGCTAAGATGGGGACGGAGCACTTATGGGAATGTCCTGAGTGATCAGATGTCGGTTGTCTAACTTATAAGTAACAACAACCAGACTTTTACAGCTAATGGTTGAAACCTGAAGAATCTGCTCCACGGATGTTGTTATTTAAATGACCAGGCCTGCTTATAAACTGGAGACATGATTTTGGCCAGTGCAGACAGTTCTACAACCAGGGTATCAGGAAGGTCAAGAAAAGATGGGAGAAATGCATCAGCCTGAGCAAGCATAAAAAAAAACAAGTAAAGGATCTTTCTCACGTCTCTGGCACACCAGCCATTTGGTGCTTGATCATATAATTTAATTGACTAATCCACATACGACGGGTGATGTAGTGAACATTATGCTAGCCACTATCACTCGCCTGGACATTACCTGCTACTTAATTAATCAAGCTGGGCGAACCTAGGACCTCAAAAGAAAATTGTACATAAATAAAAATCTGCCCAGATGTGGATTTGAACCCAAGATCATTAGGCAGACAGACAAGTGTTTATTTAGCCACAGTGCTATTGCGGCACCACCATGTACAAAAGCACTTAAGGTCAAACACAAATCGAGGCACAGGCCTGGACGACTCCACACTACTGAAGTGCAAAACTTCTCGACTCACAGCGTCACAAAGATTGCTGTGCACTATTTCTAAACTGGGTATCCCTGTTTTGTACCAATAACAACACAACACCCCATCTTGCTATGATTTTCACTTGTTTAGACATCTCTTTCCCGGGTTGTTCCAGATCTAATGTATTAGCCATATTCATTCATTTTGTTAGACCAGTGGGATTCAAATGAAAACCTTAAACGTGTTAATTCAAGTTTCATTTTCCAATGAATTTTTACAGATTTTACACCTTTATTCATTAAAAAATGGATAATAAAATGCTGCTCCTCTTCGGTGCATGTTGAAGAAAAAAAAATGGAGTGACTATCAGTAACAGTAATTACGACGCCACTATGTTCGTCTGCACTGTGATGTCATGTGCTTAACAACCTTGACATCCTTAACAATACTGACAGGTTACAAGACAATGGCCTGGTTATTATAATTTCTCACACTTTCAGGTTTTCATCTGAAGCCCCCCTCATAATTCACAGCTGTTATGTTTGTCTTTAAAAGCATATGCATCCATATGTAAACACATACATAGCCAGTTTAATGATATTTATGCCCAACCAACACTGAATGTTTGTTTCTGCATTCTAATAAGTACATATAAAATATTTGACTAACATAATTTTCCAAATAATGTTTTCCCTGTAGAGAATTTAAATTCTGCAGACACAAGCAATACATTGCATCATTTATTACCAGGCGTATTTCACTGCATCTCATCATGTAATTTATACTACTTTATTAATATCCTGCCCCAAACAGGGGAAATCCACAGGTCACGGGACAGTCTAATATTTCAGGGGGTGGTAGATAGGCTGCATGCAGGCATAGAACCTAGGCTGTACTCTGTCGTGGGACGTAGGTGGGTTGGGGTTAGGGTTAATTCCAGATGTTTTGGGGTCGTTAAAAGCATCAGAAAGCCGGGAAACCCTATCTGACCACCCTCTAAAATGTTGGACAGTCCTGTGAGATCATCTGGAGTAAGATATTAATAAAGAACCTAACTGACTACCCAACTGTCATCTGCTTGATTCTGGACATGTAATCGACAAGGACAGTGTTTTACCACACAGTGAATAGGTGAATGTTGAGACTGGCAGAGGCTGTACCAATAAAAATTAGCAACCTCCTATTATGTAAAGTTAAGGAATTGATTAAAAATTTGAAGTTACCCTGGTAAGTCATGTGACTATTGTGAATTTCCAGCGATTAGATGAACACAATGTATCGAGAGAGACCATTAATTATTTCAGTGGAATTAATTCAGTTTTTGTTGCTTCATTATACATTGATGTAACCCTGTAGTAATGTACCTGATGAGATACAGCAAAATATTATTATCCACCTGTGCCATTATGTGTCACATAGGGCTCACCGTCTATTCCTCCATTACGTTCTATCCTATGTAATTAGTTCAATATCATGGATGGAATCCAATTCAGCAGCTTTGGCTTTTCTCATCAACATTCACTTTAGGGTATCTTTGGGGCGTCCTCACCTTCTAAATTCCCTTTATTTCCTACTGTAATGCCTGTATGGTAATTCTCTGCTCGTTTCTTCTCAGGACGTGTCCAAAGAAGCGCCATTTTCTCAGTCTCATAACTGTTGATACTAGTGGTTATCCCTAAACATTTCTTTTATTTCTTCACTTCTTTTGAATTCATCCCATTTTATTTTCATCAGTTTCCTCAGATATTTGTTTTCAAATGCATTTAACTTTTGTTCCATGCCTTGAGTGGCTCTCCAACTTTCACCTGCATATGATTAAAAGTGAAATAACGTTAGAAATGAAAAAAACGTAACCTTGTTTTACAACTGTACAATTTAGAGTTCCATATTTTGTTCAAGCCATATAAAGCTGCTGATGTCTCGCTAATGTGTGTCATAATTTGTTTCTTTGTATTTTCTTCACTATCAAAATTACTGCCTAAATAAATAAATCAATTCGCTACTTTAATTACTTTTGTCTCTAGTGTTACATCTGCCATTGCCATTTGCAAACCTGGATGAGAAAGAAGGAGGGTTGGGCATGGAGCCAGCTCCTACACCCTGTATAAAAATAATGGATACAGAAACGGCTAAATATGGCTGGCAAAAAATTGTTTGTGTCCGCATTATTTAGCCCAATCTTCCAGAAACATCATTAACACAGGTAGTGTGGCCCAGTGATGTTCTATGTGTTATTTATTTGGAGTGAAAAAAAAAAATTCCCACTGACAAAATATATTCATGTCTAAATATTCCCAACAGACTATTGCATATACCTCAAACACAAAAACACACTGAAACACTATTTTATACAAATGAATGAATATTTACAATTTAACAAAAGACAACAAGTCATATACAGCTTTTTTAACAGGAAAAAACAACTGGTTACACAATGAAATTATCTTTTGGCTACTTTGACAGGAAGCTTAGAAAGTGGCTTCTCCCACCGTAAGCATGTCGGGTCCACAAGCAGAGGTGGCTTCTTGCAGACCTTCTGGTACAGCTCCTCAATCAACTTTGGAGTCACACACAAAATATGGTTGCCTTTCCAATACTTGATGAGGTTTAGTGACTGAAGTGTGCTGACAACATCCATGTAAGAAATGGATGTCATCTTTTCCAGCTCCCTCATGCTGACCTTCACCCCCATCCTGTAGATGCAATCTAGGAGAACGGAGGTCCAGTAACTGCGATAGCTCAACTTGCCCAAATCAGATAAAGGCTTTTCAGGGGAACCCACAACTCCTTCTATGATTGACAGTTCATAACTGAGCGCAATAAGAAACTTGCCGTAGCCTTTACGCTGGTGTGGAGGTAGTGTCAGGATGCAGGCCAAGTTATTTCCATCCGGAGATTCTTTTTCTTTGGAGAAGTAGCCAACAAGATGGCAGCCGTAGCGATCAACTTCAACCAAAATATAAAACATGAAGGGTTCCACATCAAAATAGAGGGTCTTATGGTCCAGAAATAACTTTGCCAGCAAGCATAAGTTTTGACAGTAGATCTTCCAGTCCTTGCCATCAACTTCAAACACTGAAATTGTTCCCTGAAGAAGAAAAGAATATCCAAATATAAGCTTGAGGTTTCATGATATCACATCAATGTCAAACACTGTAAGCACAAACCTTTCTACTGGATTGACTGACTGACTTTTAACCCCACCAGGACATCACAGTGAGCAATAAATACCTGGTTACACAAAAGTGCCACTATTCAGATGAGGATCACCCGGGACAGGTCCCAGATACCCCGTTCAATCCATAGGTTGGGTTATAAAAGGGCCCCCGGCAACAACCTGAGTGGGGCTTTAAAACAACAACAAACTGCATCCGACATGGGGACGCAGTACTCTACAAAATTATGATGGATTTCAATTATCAAAACATTTATACATTTAAAGCATGTTCTTTGACATAAGCAAACACCTAAAAAAAAATGACACATCAAAAGCAACGAAAACAAAAATGCAGAAAAATAAGATGAAATAATATGGTAAAGCTCACACATGAACATGCTAGATATATCAGCTCACAAAATGCACAAGAAAGAAGTAAAGAAAATATCACACTATAAAGCCATATCATTGCAGTCAATGCTGCTTTTATCTATAAAGCTTCGAGCATATGAAATGGGGATATCCTTACTAGCTAACTTCTCTGCTACACTGTATTTTGGCCTAGATGGTTAAAAAAAACAGTCATCAAGTGAGATCAGAGTTCTCCGCATTTTGCAATTTCCAAGAGCATTTGTTATGTGTTGACACCCTCCCATGCCAGGACAAAAGACTTTCAAGAGTCTAATCAAGTTCTCTTCCCTTATCTCCTTCCACCATGCTCCAGTAATCTTCTCACAGTGTAGCCAAAATACTACTATGTCCACAAGTTTAGCTGTCCATTTTTTTTAGCCTATTTCAAAACATTCAGGTTTAGGTTATTTTGGCTGTATGAGGTTCGTTATTACATGTAAGGATTCTTCTAACAACCAATGTTAGGGATTTATAGCATAAGAACATTTCACAAAATACAGTTTCTGATGGTTCTGTGCCGTTTTTTTAAAAATCTCTGTATTATATCTTTCAACTGATGTTATCCATGTGCTACAGGCAGTCAATAGCCTGACCTTTGCAGAACGTTGCTCCCAAAATAACCTTCAAGAAAACTTCTCAATCACAAGCAAGATGTCCAGCGTCCTATACACATATCTCGAGATCATTCGCCACATCCTGCACCAATCTTCTCTTTCCTATTCCTCTCTTCCCAGGCAGATAGGCCTCCATTTTTTTGTGACGCTTCAAGCGACCAAAATATTTCAATTTTCTGTGTTTCATCGTCTTTAATAGCAACATTTTAATATTCAGTTCTTGAAGTATGGATGCATTTGTTCTTTTCTTTACCCATGATATTCTTAGAACCTATCTATAACATTTGTAATCAAAGGCATTTATGCGCTGTTCAGATTGTGTAGTCATTGCCCAGGCCCCACATCCACGTGTCTACAAACTTGTATTTCTGTATTTGACTCAAAATAATATCACTGACTTTTAACTGCACATTTAGGCTTGGCTTTTTTCTGTTAGACATTAGCTTCTTATTATTTTACTGGAGAACTCCCACCCCCAACAACCACTGTATCTATAACTTTCTGTGCTGTCTTCTGACTCACTGTTATCCAGATTATATAATCAACATAACTTAAATTTATATTATGACTACTAACAATAATTACAGTATGTGTTCTATAGACCTCATTATACACTGAATGCATAATGAGAACAAATGAAAGAATGGTACACATCCTTGTATGACAGCTTTCGCTATGAACTGAAATATCTCTACAGGCTGTTGATTATTACTGCTGCAATAAACATGTGGACAATATCAAAACATAAATTCCAGAAATGGACTTCTGTGGCAGATGATTTCATTATGTCTTTTCAAATTTCTACACAAGTTATGTCATACGAAATACATATAAAGATAAGACATAATAAATTCTTTTATACTTCTTTCTCAGCCTTTTCAGTCTGCAAGAGAATAGGCTCACACACACTCTGCTTCATCTTTTTCTTATCCTCAAAGCGCTCAATCCAGTTTTCAATGCCCAGTTCCTTAAACAACAACAGATACTCGATTAACACTGCCAACAAAAGTTTTACAAAGCAGCAAAGCAACAAAAGGTGACGTGAAATGACCGCTAATTCCTTAAGTAACTGGAGAAACTATGGCAAGATTAAAATATTACCAAGGCAGCCTAAAATTACCAAATAACAGAAAATAAACAGAGAACTTATATATTTTAAATTGTGCCACTCAACAGCTATTACAAAATTAAACAAAATGCTGCAATACTTTCCTTAATTAACTTAAATAAAATCACTTGTGCATATCTGATGCAAAATGCCTTGCAGAAATAAGAACAAAAATCACCAATGCAAAAATGACTCTAGCAAGATGCCATGGATTCTCACTAATAGGAAGATGTCACTTATACTGAGAAAAAGAGTGTTACAGTGTTATGCAGAGCCTGTGTTTTTTTAAATGCACATGAAACAAGGACAATAAACAAGTTTAAAACAAATGACTCGAGGCAGAGATGTTGTTTCTGAGAAGAATGCCAAGAGTATCATGAAAAAATATAAAAAAAACAAATTAGTCCTCATCGAGACAGATGAAAGTCGTAAACTTTTAGAACAATTAGACATGGGCAATCAATATTTTTTGGGAAAGGGGGGGGGGGGGGCATTATGAGAAGGAATGACTCGAAAACTAGGTAACAACAGGCAATATTGATGGAAAGAGAGCAAGAGGGAGGCAAAGAGATAAATGTCTGGATGGTCCAGCCAGATGGATGGAATCAGACACACACAAAAAACATTGAACTAATCTATAATTTTGGTGACCGTGTGAGATGGCGAAACACGACAGCCTACCCTTACCGACATGACTCATGATAATCTTCTCTTCTTCTTCGATCCTTCTGTCAGAAAACTTATATCAGGAGGCCGGTAGCCTTTATGAAAGCTATCGTGCAATCCATATCCTCTTGTGTACCATACAGTTTTGTCTTCATTGTGGTTGGAACAGGCCAGATTGCGTCTCTGTTGTCAGCATACAGTTGACAGTGTTGGAGCACATGCTCAGCATTTTCGGGTGCCACGCTGCAGGGACACGTCTCCGTATTTCCTACACCGAAAAATTTGAACATATGTTGACGAAATCTGTTGTGCCCTGTCCTTAGTCTGAATATAATAGACTGCCCCTCTCTAGAGAGGCGATGAAGTGAGTCTTGGGGAGAAAATCTGATGTGGGTATCCAGCCACTTTTCTTGGATACTAGATTGTATTAGTGTTTTCATCTCTTGGTGGGTTAAGTCGCTGTTTGGTTGTACCATGTCACTGCCGCTTCTGGCCAATCTGTCCGCTATTTCATTGCCTTCCAAGCCACAGTGACCTGGAATCCACTGCAGTACAGATTGTTCTACTGAAGAGCCTAAGTAAATCAGCTGTTGCGTCAAGTCTACAAACTGAGTGTCTTTTGGGTTAACAATTGCTTGTAGAACTGACATAGCATCAGTCAGAAAGACCACTCTGCTATATTTGCTGTGCTGTTGTCCATTCTGGAAAGAACATGCCGCTAGAAGTGCTTCTGCCTCTGCTCTGTAATTGGAGGAATATGAACCTGTTGGTACAGCCTGGTTGATTTTTAAACCATTTGGGCATTCTATGTATATTCCTCCTCCTCCGTCTCTTACTGCTCTCTTGGCTGAACCATCTGTATACACTCGAATCCAACTCTGGTGTGGGTAAAGTCTACTGACCTCTCCTTCTGTAGTTGATTTCATATCAGTGCTGCTCATTGATGATTTGGGGGAGACCCCTGTTACAGTGGTTCTGACTGTTGGTAGGCTATCCCTAAGCCAAGCGGGGCAGTCGTTGTAAGGTTTAAGTGGAACATTTGGTATTATGGGAGGGAGTTTAAGGACAGCAAGCTTGGCACTCATGATAATGATATCAAGACATTTCCATAGTTATGATAAATATAAAAGAGCACAAAGCCTTCCTTAACACATTGTGGTAGAAAGATAACAAATAATGAAAATATTTTTTTTACTGAATATTATCTGCCAGAAAGTTAAAATTATCTTAATTATTCATTTAAGAAGTGTAGTTAGAATAAATCAGGGAACATCTCATCCTTTCACAGTGACATCTGGAGTAAGACAGGGGTGTGTCTTGTCACCACTGCTGTTTTTCACCTACATCGACAGTATATGCAAGAATGCCAAGCCCATGAATGAAGATCTTAGTAAGATCAACGAATTACTCTTTGCAGATGACCAGGCCTTGATAGCAGATACAGCCATGAAATTGCAACAACATCTAACATCCATGAATGAAGAATGTAAAACAAATAATATGAGAATCAACACTGAAAAGACAGAAGTAATGTCAATAGGAAAAAAGAAGACAGATCTAAACATAGCAATAGAATACAAAGGCATTAAACAGGCATCTGAGTTTAAATATCTGGGAACTACATTTACCGAAGATGGGAAATTGGATAAAGAAATTGACATTAGATGCAGTAAAGCAAACCAATTATTGGGACAGCTAGCCCCCCTCTTACAGCATAAGACAATCCCAATCAGCACAAAGAGACATCTTATTCAAAGCATATTTATTCCAACTCTGTGCCACCAGTGCCAGACATGGTCACTCACAACAAACCATAAAAGAAAATTAGTAACCACGGAAATGAGATGTCTGAGAAGGGCTGTAGGAGTGACCATAAGAGATAAGATCAGGAATGAGATCATAAGAGAACAAGTCGGCACAGAACCAATTCTGGATTACATACAAAGACAGCAAGTGAAATGGTTTGCCCACTTAGAGAGAAGGCCTGGTGACACCATACCATACAAAGCATACATGGAAAGAGAAGAAGGACGTAGAGCACGGGGTAGACCAAGAACAAGATGGAAGGATAACATCAGAGAAACTCTACAACAGCACGATGTGCCTATGGTCGAGGCAGCCAGAAGAGCTAGAAACAGAACCTTATATCTCCCTCGACACCCACAGCGGTAAAAGAGGAAGTGAAGAAGAAGAAGAAGAAGATTCATTTAATTCTACTAGAGCCAGTCAATACAAAACATTTAAAAAAAAACAGTTATTATTTAAGACTTTTCTGTACTAGACACAAGGTATTTTAAACTTTAAAAAAAGGAAGTTTTTTTTCTTAAAGAAAAAAAAAGATTAATTGCACGAGAGAAAGAATTATCTTGGATAGAATTAAATAAATGTATGGATTAACAAATAAATATATGATGTTCTTGACACACTATGAGCAGATTGTTCATCACATACTTATATACTCAACAACAAGTGCAAAGTTTTAAGTAAACCCTGAGGTACAAGGTGGAAGAAAAGAAAAAGAAGAAGAAGAATGATAACTTCTTACTAGTTAATGCTGACTGTACAATTATTATCACTTTAAATTATCACAGGAATTGCAATTTATATGATGTCATAATGACAATAATCTACACAACGTCAAAGAACAATGCAATGAATGGCAAAGAAGTGTACATATATATATTTATTTTAATTTTGTGGACTTTGAGAAACCTTTTGACAGCATCCACAGAGACAGTCTCTGGAAAATATTACGATATTATGGAATCCCAGAAAAGATAGTACACATAACTGCTCTATTCTATAAAAAATTTTCTTGCAGTATAAAAAATAACAACACATCTTTCCAAGTAAAGACAGGTGTAAGCCAGGAATGTGTTATGTCATCAGATCTTTTTAACCTTGTAATTGACTGAATAATAACAAACACTGTAGACAAGACATCTAGAGGCATGCAATCGACTCCATTCACCATGCTTGAGGACCTTGATTTTGCAGATGATATAGCACTTCTCTCACATAAACATATACAAAAGAAAAGTAGCAGACTACACAGCAGAAATGGTAGGACTGAGAATAAATATGCAGAAAAATAAGATCATGACAAATAGTCCAAACGAACAACCAGTGACCAATAATAAGCAAACGCTTGAAAATGTAGAACAGTTTACATATCTTGGCAGTGTGGTGTCCCTATTAGGAGGGACAGAGGAAGACATGCAATCACACTTGAACAAAGATAGAGCCACTTTTGGAAGGATGCGGCAAATCTGGAAATCCAACAGTTACTGCAGAGGAACGAAACTCTGACTCTACAAGAGCATCATTCTGCCAGTTCTTCTTCATGGAGCAGAATGTTGGAGAATGACCAAAATGGATGTGCACAAGCTATCCCCCTTCCACCACATATTTCTATGTAGAATTATCAAAATTTCCTGACTAGATACCATCCCAAACACTAAACTACTTCAAGTCACAAATCAAGAAACTCAGGACAGTATAATAACCAAGAGAAGATGGAAATGGCTAGGTCACGTTATGAGAATAAATTCTGATATACCTGCTAAAACAGCTCTCACTTGTACACCAGAGGGAAAGAGAAATAAGGAGCACCCAAAAACAATATGGAGATGAACGATGGAAAGTGAACTGAGTGCTGCATCTCTTGACATGGAAAACTGCACTGAAGATTGCACACGACAGGAAAGCATGAAAAGTCCTTTTTGAAGCCTTATGTGCCATTAGGCATAAAGAGAACATATGATGATGATAAGAAAAGTAGTAGTTTTAATGCATAACTACAAATAACAGTAATAAGTTTTGAAGACGCAATGGAAAGAATCTAAAATAATAACAGGAAGAAAATATACTAATGTTATGTTCTAGCTAAGTGCTAATTCTACAGCTGCCATAACTGATCTGTTGGTAAATAAACAGGTTATAAAAGATAGTAACATGCAGCAACCAGCCAAAGGTGAAAAAAACTTTAAAAAACAACAACAGGGTGAAAGTAGATAAAAACAAGCAGAGGATTTTCAGTAGATGGCCAATGGTGGAAAATAACACAATAAAACATGCATGAGGACATTACATTCAGACACACGCACTGTGCAGCAGATGGAAATATCTAGCCAAATTTCTTTAGTATAATGAGACCAAACATAAACAACAAGCCCAGCCAAAAAATGGGAGCAGGTAAAGTCCTTGGAAGTTCAGGTGGCCGGTGCCGCAAAGACCACATCGGCCATCAAGTGCCAACTTTTTCTTCTGCCTTTCTATCCCCCAAATGAAGCATAGGCCCTCGACAAACTCACGCCATGTCGTTCTATCCCTCGCCATTGCATGGAGCTCTCCCCATCTTTTTAACTTCATTCTCCAGCTCTCTTATTCCAGGTGCCAATTCTGGCGGTTTTCCTAGCTGAGAGGAGGTATGTCAACGATTCGGACTCCTTACAGCTTTCTTCACACCGTGTCATACTTCTTCTACTTGAAGAGCCTCTTCTCATCTTGGTTGGCTGGGTTTTACTTGCTTCTCTTTTTGACTTATCCATGGTTGGTTGGTTTTTGTAGCTACTGTTTTTACAGGATGAGGTAGCCAACCTCAAGCCCAGCCCTACCTTTAGTCGCCTCTTATGACATGCCTGGTAGGGGGCAGTGTCATTATTCTTTGCTTCCCGCGAGGGCCCCGGTGACACACTGTCTACAAAAAAAAGGAGAGTCTAGCCTTATATACCTGACATGCCACTGGCAGGAAAAGGGTTCCTTACAACCAGACTTACAAACATAAACAATACATCTCACGCTGATACACAGAGATGATAGAAAAGCACATACTGCATGCTGATCGAGGCTAAACAATGACTAATAAATGGGAGAGTTACAATAATGTAGACACTATTTGTCTGTTGCAGACAGGGGATTATCAAATCACTGAATTAGGCTCTCAGGTCAACATAGCATAATATTCCCTGTATAGGTTCGGCAGCCACTTTATAACCAAACAAATAAAAATGAGACCCACTGAATCTCTATGCCCAACAAAAAGTTAGTTGCGTATCCTTCACAGAACTTAGCAGAAAAAACCCAGCATTTTTGACTGTTATGGTTTTTTAGGCAGTAATGACTAACAAGGATGCCATTAAAAGTCAACTAATTAGGGGATTCCATCAAAGTCAGAGTCCATCTGCCTGAGAGGCAAGGAACTAACAGTCTGCCTACAAACAAGCCAGATATGTCAAACGGATATGCATGCAAAACTCAAGTTCTGGAACAGGACTACACACCAGAAGTGAATGAACAACCAGAACTTTGCCTCAGAGCCTAGAGCAAGACCTCTACTTTTGCATTATTCATCATTACTGTCTTTTTGTGCCATTATATGTCACATAGGGCTAACAGTCTATTACTCTATTCTGTTCTATCTTATGTAATCAATATCATGGATGGAATAAAGTTCAGCACATCTAGCCCCTCTCATGAGGGTTTCTTTTGGGCATTCTGTATCCTTTCCTGCCCTGCAAGTTTCTATAGCGAAAGAACTTTTACAAGGTGGGGGACCGGCCCCCAAGTCTAACCTTCCTCTAGGCTTGGGACCGGCAATGGTTGAGATCTTTACTTTCACAGTAATTTACTAATGAACAGACATAAAAAAACAAACAATTGAGGCAGTCATCCAGAAAATAAATTAAAAACTGCAAAACTAAATTGGATGTGGGCAAATGGGCATGTTTACAGAAAAAAAAAGCTTAAAACCTTAGTGGCATCCTGCAGATTTGACGGAGAAAGAGCAAAAGGAAGAAAAAGCAACAAATGCCTGGGTGGTATAACAACACAACATAGGTGGGAGCAAAATACATACTTTAGCTGTGACCCTCATGAGCGCCTGAGATGGTGAATAATGACCATTCATGCTTATGCGACAGGGTAAAGGAGAACCACAAGAAAACAGAAAATCTTGGGGTACCCACTTTAAAACAGTTCACACAAAAGACACACTATGCTTAATTAAACAAGCTGATACAAGGACGAATGCTAGGAATAAAGCCAGTCTTACAGGTCATAAAAATTGAGTGGTTTGGACATCTAACAAGAATGCCCTGGTACTATCTGCCACAGCGAGCCACACTAAAATGTTACAACGGGTATAGAGCGAATGGAACACTTTCGGAAAATATGGCGTCATGGCATCAAGAACAGCCTTACAGAAATGAACATCAGTTTTTATAGTGCTCATCAAAGAATGTGACATCTTCCCTCCGACAGATCGATGAGGCACAAGGTGGAAAAGAAGAAGATAAAAGGAACACTTACTATTAGAAAATTAATATAAGGGCAGCAATGATAAACCTCTACTACAGAGGTTACATACTTAAAAAAAAATTTATTCACATAATGGGTGGGCAGCAGATACAAATGAAAAATGCATAAAAGTAGATTGAATACCTTCCGATAAATCTCTTTGCCAGGCGGGTGTCTCCAGGTGCACTGTGACTGGTGATAGCGGAAAGATTTTTCCAGTTTCATATATTTCAGACAAAACTCACAAACCCAAAGCTTAGGCTGTTTGCCATACTCTTCCGGATACGGGGAGAAGTACCAAGCATCAATCTCGTACTTGCCAAACTGAATTTTGTCTATGTATTTCACCTGTTATGAGCATATATTGACAGCATATAAGCCATAATATTTCAGGGATGGGGTAGATAAGATTAAAAAAACAATTTAGCAGCAATCATATACTTTTGTTGTTGTTGCAAATACCATAAATCAAGTTTAGAAAAAAAATTTGTTTGAAAATCAGGCATCAAGTAAATAGGTAATTACTCTTCCTGATTTTGTCTACCCTGAATGGGGGAAGGGGGTGAGAGGTGCAGAGCATAACTTGCTTTTAACTCTTTTAGTCCCAAGAAATGTCTGGTGTGTGAATAACTCTACCTTGATTTACAGCATAGCATAATGTGCCCTTTTTTTTAATTGGTAAGAACATAATGAAAAATCTGCCCCTAAATGGTCACCAACTCTGTGTACATTGCCACTTGAATGTAATTAATTCATCAGTTTGTTTCTTCACTTAACATATCTCTCTGGTACTGAGAAAGCTTAAAGAAAAATACTTTGATCAGAAAATTATTACTGGATTGTACGTAATTTTAAAACAAAATAGAAAATTTATACTCTAGCCCAGTCTTTTAATCCCCCACTAGAGCAAAGGCCTTCAACCATCTGATGCCAAGCTAAATCTCGCTTTTTCCTCTATGTCTTTTTCTACATTTCTTACCGATGATTTGAACTTGGATTTCCTATATCAAAGCCCAGTGCTTTAACCGTTTACCCAGTTAAAAAAAAAAAAAATGTATGTCCCCACTGAGGACTGAGTGCAGACCAATGCTTCTTCTTCTTCTTCGCGTTCACCAGCTGTACACCAGAAAGTTCTGGTTGCTCGTCCACTATTGAACTGCAGTCCTGCTCCAGAACCTGAGTGTTGTGTGTGCATCAGTTTTACAGATCTCATTCTCTTGAATACAGACTGTTGGTTCCTAGCCTCTCCGGCAGATGCACTCTGACTTCAAAGGAAGCTCCCCAATTAGTCGACTCTTACGGACATGCTTTTGGGGAGGCAGTGGGTCTATTCTTGTTTTCCCCACAATGGGGCCCCGGAACCCACACGGGGGAGACCAATGCTTAGGAAAGCAGAGACGCAAGCCACTCTACCTTTATCAACCCATTACTACTTTCTTAAATTCCCATTAAAATAAAATTAAAAAGCAACAGAAGACACATTCTATTGAACAATAATTTCTAATTGTTCTCCACCTTTGTAATAGCTTCATGCTCCTTCTCCAAAGCTGCAGTGGTAGGATCCATCTCTGCAAAAGTCTTTTGAACATGATTAATTTCATCATGTTTACGCTTCTGATTCCTGGTGATCTTGCGATCAGTGCCATCTGTGAAGTCTGCCAGAGAAATTGTCAGCTCGCCATTCTTGCTCTGAGGGTCTTCGCACTTCGAGGACAAGTCTAGCCTGTAAGCAGTCAACATCTTTTCTTTATACACTGAAGTAAAACCTATTAAGCTGTTACTTTTGGTTTACCTCTTTAAAAAAAAAAAAATAAGAAATATGAGCTATGACCTAACATTAGGAAAATAAATAAGATGTCCAGTCATTTGTTCCTCATTATGACTATTCACAAAATTAAACATGAACAAATAAAGCCAGAATTGATTTCACTGCACTCGAGACATCGCCACAGCACACATCCTCTGTAAAAACATGGAGCGCTTCATGAATTTGTTTGTCATCCTTGCGCAGAGGCCATGCAATATCCTCAAAACAAATCTGTTTGTTGAAATCATAGGAAAAAAGTCACCCAAGAGGTTTTTAAGTATGCTTTGGTTATTTCACTGCATGTTGTTTTGTTTTACTATACACACTTTATCACTGAAAATATATGTTCAGCAATAAATTGGTAAATGAATTCTTGTTTACACATTCATTGCTAATTCTAGCAGTACTAATATACACCTACAGCTAAATGCTGAGGTCCACGCAAATTTTAAAGTTGTTCCTGAATGAATAATAAATAACAAACATGACTGCATTACAATGCTAGAATTACCTCAACTAGTTAGGTTCCCTATTTATGTGTATTTACGTGCCTCTACATGCGGCGCGGAGGATACGCTCGGCAGTGAGTTTAATCCCGTTTTGCGCATGCCGACAAGCCTGACATCTACCGCTGCTAAATCCTCAATCGGAAGAACAGTATCGCTAATCTGCGTGGGAGCGCGTGGTCTACCCCCCATATCGCTTTCATTGTCTGCAATGTCTCGAAATTGTCAACGGTCGCTTTTATCATCTGCAGAAAAGGCTCGACATTGTCACCGGTCGCTTTTATCGCCTGCTACTATCGTCTGCAATGTTGCGTCTCGTGACATTGTAAGGTACTCCTAGTTTTGCCGCAATTTGTTCCTCGGCGGGAACTCCGACAAGTCCATATTTTTAATTGGACTGCGCCCCGAACGGATATTTTAGGCCGCAATACTGCGGGGGTAGAAGTTCGAAGGAGAGCCATATAACCTAACAGGTCCTCAGTCAGGTGTCAATTGCGCACTTCTGGCGACTTCCGCAACCGCCGAGAGTATCCACCATGCCACTCACGCGGTGTGGATTGGGGCTAAACTAGATGCTTGGACTCACCAGCAGCAGCTACCACATTTCCTGCAGCTTCCTTCATTTTATTTGCTCGTGAGTCCCAGCCAACGCGGCATGGAGGATACTCTCGGCAGTGGTGGTATAGTCTCCGGAAGTTCGCAATTCGGCGGTGGCGGTATAGTCCCTGGAAGTTCGCAATTGATACGTGACTGAGGCCGTTAAGGTATATTTTCTGCCTCAATAATTTGGGACCGTTGTTCGGAAGATAGTCGCATTCTTTAATTACTAAGCACTTCCCATTTCTAAACATTTTATCTGAGTAATGAACTGAGTTTAACTGTTAACAAACTGACAAGTAAGTACTTTGAGTTGAGCCTATTTAGCGACTACGGACACGCCCCCGGCACGTGACGTCCGAAAAATGATGACGTCACCGATCTAGCAAAAATGTGCTTACGGAAAACTTCGGCGGGATTCGGGGTGCCCTAAATTCGTTTGAAAAGCACGCTAAATCACGGGTTTTCCCTAGCTATAAATAGCTCGAACGTAAGACTTGACGTTCAGTTGTGAGCACATGGTAAGCTAAATCTGTGGTTGTCTGTATGTTTTCGTTGTTCCGTTGTGAATATATACTTAAGTTCACTATATCAGTTAAAGACTTTAAGGCAAGCCTCATAAATTTACTAGGAATAATTAGATTCAGCATCCATTTATCTATTAGTGTGTAAATTTTCAGCAATATTACTAATCGGACTAATTCACAGTACATTTTTTAGAAGTGCATCACTTGAAAGTTCATTTCTAGTCGCATGCCAGTCTTCATTTTGAAACTCGCGAAAATAAACATTCATAGTCAACCGGACTTTAACCTCGTTAACGTGCATATTTATTTAATTTTTATTATTTTAAGTCACATTCTGACAATACTATTTGAAGCCTGCATATAATTTCAGCATATTTAATGGCAATTTGCGATTATTTATTGATGTGCGGCATGTTTTTCATAGGGACACAGAGTAGCTATCAAGACTAGTATTTTCCAATAATTTTGTTGAAAAATGTCATCTAGTTATATGTTTTACAATATGGTTATATGCTGATCCATTTTTACAGATCTCAGTCAAATGTTAACTCTTTCAATGATCGGACTGATTAGATATAGAGATTTTAATTAGACCTGTCTCAAAGGAACGAAGGGGTGGTCGGTTTGCGAAAAGTACGTTGCCATAGCAACACTTCATAAACTTCATTCGCGTTGTTTCATTATAACTGTTAAGTACCCGGGGGACCCTTCTGTTTTTAGTTATCAGTTTCACATATTTCAAAGTAGGGTAGGGTTTTATATTGCCAGTATATAATTATTTTCAAATGAGTCTTGAGTATTTTTAATTTAATTTATTAAATTCTTAAAATTAAAAAAAAAAAAATTATTGTTATTTTATAATTAATCAGTACTAAATCACCAGCTGTTCTGTTTCATTATATATGTAATGGGAAGATCTCAGTCTCAAGTATATTATCACAATCAAATAAATTCATATGCCTTTCAATATGTCTCAATTCTGTACTTTGAGATATTATTTGACATATTTAATTTCAGCATATCAGTATCAACAAAATGTTTTTTCTTGCACAGATTCACTGTCTTACAACAATGGCAAATAGAACCGCTAGTGATATGAGAGCGCACCTGGCAAGCTTTGAGCCTGAGTATCCAATCAAGAAGGGCTACGTAACAAGGTTACTTCTTGTAAATGAAAAACTTTCTGTTTCTGATGTAGGCAGAAGAATAAAGGAAATTGTGCAGATGGCAGAGCCAGACAAACATCTACACGAGCAATGAACATTAAGTGCTATTAATCATTTAAAGATCATACAGAGCCAAAAAAAAAAAAAAATGCTACCCAGTTCAGAGTCAGTGGGATGGTTTTGTAAGGTTAAGCCAAGAGCTATTCGTTTCATGCATGATGATACAGCACAAGCAGTTGATTCATCCGCTATAACTTCCACAGCACTCATGCAACCAGACTATACAAACACACTTCTGTACCAATGCCTTTACAACACACTTCAGAACCATCTAGCCCTACCTATTTTTATTATTAATAATTATTATTTATAAAATTTATTTATTTTTTAAAAATAATAAATTTCTTAAACATCTCTGCTTGAAAATGTAGTCTAGAATCAAATGAAAGCGATGACAACTAACTACATAGTTAACGGTAACGCAGATATCATAATTTAAAATAAAAACGAAAGCTTGTTTTTATTTTTTGGTAAAAGTAAAGCAGGGGATGATTAGTTACCAGTTACTAGTTACCTGTCCAAATCCACCCACTCATCCAAACGACGATCAAATCCTTCGTAATGAACATATAATTCTTGCGTCCCAAATTCATTCTGTCTCACTTGTATAATTTCTGCCGCATGAAGCGTATTATCTGATCTCTTCACGAGGTAATGATCACCGATTTCTGGCACCCAGTGCGATTTGTCATTACAATTTTCTTTTCCAGAATGATGCCTTTTGTTCCCATCCGCCATTTTTCTCCGTTTGTACAAACTACAAACGACCTTGGCCTTACCCCCGCTGCAGTCGACAACGTCATATGCAAGATTCGTTGAATTAATTTACATCAATAACTTCCACGTTAACACTGTTGTCAACCGGATGGCAGACAAAGGGCCTTTTATTTGTTCTTGATAAGGATCAGATAAGCCAACTCATACATAAACTGTTTCTCTTGACTGACGTGAATACCTGTTTTAATTCAGTAGTTGTTACGTACAACAAGGGCGGCAACTGTCGGGCTCTAGATTTTGTGACGGTTTTCTTGATTCATTCGTCAAATAACTTCAGCGAGATGTGACTACTGTTGACCTGTTGTGACAGTGACCTAAGTGTCTTGATATTGGCACACTCTTACTTCTGCTACTACACACTTGCTGCTTTAAAAAAAAAAAATCACTTTTTATGTGTGTGGGTAGACAGAATTTGACGTTGCAATCATGGCTTTGTTTTCTGCAGATCTTTTCCCAACAAAGTGGAGTTTCGTTGTGTTTGTCTCTTACATGGCATTGTTTATTAATCAAGGTAGGTCTACCAGTCAGGTCTCCAGATTCGTTTTGTTTAGGCTTTATAGAGTTCAATAATTATTAATGACACTTGAATTAATTACTTTTTCAGATATTTTTACTGTCGATAGTAAGCACTCAGTGATTCACTCGAAGTGAAGTAGTGAAGTGTAATTTACTTATACTTTTATGCTAAATTTGAAATGCTTGCCTTTTTTGTATGTCTTCTTTTCTTCTTTGTGTAACCAGCTGTACACTCTGGCGTAAAGTTCTGGTTGTTCGTCCACTTCTGGACTGCAGTCATGCTCCAGAACCTGAGTGTTGCATGTGCATCAGTTTTACAGATCTGATTCAATTGAATGCAGACTGCTGGTTCCTTGCCTCTCAGGCAGATGCACTCCGACTTCAAAGGAAGCTCCCCAGTTAGTCGACTCTTACGACATGCTTTTGGGGAGGCAGTGGGTCTATTCTTGTTTTCCCCACAATAGGGCCCCGGAACCCACACGGGGGATTTTTTGTATGTGAACTGACAGTAGTTAATAATAAAACGTTTTCTTTAAACTTTAATAAAGTATTGCTTCTAATCGTTCATTGGAGATTGATTGAAGTTTCAGTTTCTCATCTAATAAATAGAGGCAGGAGTTAATATACAAATCTGAATCAGGGATAGGAGAGTCAATCACATAAGACCTGAACCTGAATCCAGACAATAGCATAATTTTACAAAGGTGGTTATAAGATTATTATAATTATGTTGTCTTAGGCTTAGCTGAGAAAAGTCAGAGTGGATAATTAAACTATGGCATGACATGAACAAAAGGGGTCAGTATTGTAGCAAGTAAAAATGTTCAACTAGTGAAAGGGTTTTATTATAGAACTTGTGTACATCCAAATGAAATGCAGACAATATACAGAGCATTAGACAGGGATGTGTACTATCATCTGATTTATTCAATTTGTACAGTGAGATTTTCAGATTCATACATCATGTGCCAGGAATGTAGGTTAGTGGGCATACTGTGAAGAATCTGTGATATGCTGACAATATAGTTTTGAAAAAGGGGTGGTGGGGGGGGGGGGGGGGGTTGGTGTTGTCCTTGTTAGCTTCTTCGACAATTTCCCTGAACCTACTTGGCTGGCATGGTTTTTTCCTTAGGGGATTTTAGCTTGCTTACGTTTTACTAATGTCCATTGTATTACCAATTCACTGACAGTGTGCAAGGGTAATGACCAGAGTTCGATTGAGACTCATAGTACTTCTGTATATGTTATCTAGAACAGAATCCAACATCTAAAGACATCATTTTCCACCTATTGTTAACTGCCGCCTCCAAATAGCCTAGGCTCCACTCCTATCGCCTTTGACTGCCATACATTCACATATTACTCATTTTTATTTAAAAAAAATTCAAACTGTTGCAGATTTGAAAGTTTACAGTTCTATTGATCATTTAGGTCAACACTGTAGTGTGTATTGGTCTTACAGTCATGTAGGTTTAAAATGTCTGCACCCAGAATGCTGAAGAGGGTGGGGAAGAAGAAAGAGAGAAAGCGTAGCACCAATTCTGAACAGTAAGCCTCCAGTATCTTTGTTTACTGTTTGGCATACTGACATGAGTCACGGCTAAGACCAGTTATGCCAGAGAGAAGGGAGGGGCTTAGGAAGACTGTGACTTAAATGCATATAATTCAAAGTCCATATATCTGCCTTAATTATGAATTATACTGTTGTATTTTTTGCCAGGTATTCTTGTGACAGCCAGTAAATCCAAGGATAACAGTTACAGCTACAACACAATAACAGTAGTGTTGCTGACAGAAGTGTTCAAACTGTTTGCTGCAGCCGTACTGTTCATCAAAGAGTAAGACCTGACAAGCAATTCTTTAACTGTTTTGTTTCCAAAAGGTTTCACTGTAGATGCCCATTATGCAGTTCATGCAATTCACTTTGAATGAGGCAAAATTAGGGATGCCGAGGTGCATCACCAACTGGGACTCAACATTGGGACCATAATTAATACCGGTCAAAATTAATCAACACCTTTTTGTGGTCATCCTAGAAACATACTCTCTACTGCAGGGTGGGTGGGGGTGTCTGGTTTTCCCTACAACATTTCCTTCAAAACTGAAGCTTGTTTGCCTAAGAGGTACAGAATTAGTAGTCCTTACATAATAAGTCAGATCTGTCAAACAGATTTGCATGCAGCACTCTAATCATGGAACGGGGTCAGGGTACACAGATCGGCAACCAGGACTTTCTGTGATGACTACCAACACCACACAGCATGTGGACAAAAAAGAAGAAGAAGAAGAATATCGTATGGCCGATAGGTAGTCATCAGTAAATCCTATTTCATTATCTCTCCTGGCGTTTTCGTGTTACTTGTTGGGTCTCCACTTCTGTCAATCCATAACTTACTCAGATCTTTCTGTCCAATATAATAATGATTTCATCGAAAGCATCACACAAGAATTTTCCTTCTTCAGACAGGACACTGCAGGCTCAACTACCACATGTATAAAATAAAGATTGTACAGTCCCCACAGTGTGTCTGTCAAACAAGACCTCAAACATCTGAGCACATTCTGCAGACCTGCCCACTCTACCTACAATTTTGAAAAGAAACATGGCCTCAAAAGCAAAGTGTGCAGAGCAAGCTATGAGAAACCATGAAGGACCTGCTACTGACACCTGAGTTTATAGAGGCAACCCACCTTATGAACTAATGCATACATGGCCAGTCTGTTTGATCTTTAATTTGCTTTCACCCTGGCATATCCTGGTGTACACAGCCAAGACAGTTTCTTGAGACTGGACTTCTGGTTGCTATCAGCGTATTCTACTCGGAGTGTGCCAGTTTGGATCTTCTTCAGCATGCTCAGTGAGTCTGTCACTATTGATGCAAGAGTATATATCTGTTCTGTCAGCCATGCCGGTGCCCCTGTGTCAGCTGCTGTCTTCATTATCAGGTCTTGTAACAACAAGAACACAATATACAAAATACTTATAAGACCAGTTGTCTTGTGTAGCTCTGAAACCTGGAGCACAGCTAAAAGAGATTAGGCTCTATAACAAATTTGTGACCCACTAAAGATGCAAACATTGGAGAATGGAGAGTGAGAAGTAACAACGAAATTCATAATTTGTTCAAATCATCACTGTTCACTGGCATCATGAGGGTTAATAGACTGAAATGGCTGTGGCATAGAGAGGATAGCAGATAACTGAGAGGAAAAAACTATGTACATAAGGAAGTTGAATGGCTATAGACCATGAGGTAAACCATGAAGACGATGGATAGATAATATCCAGGCAGACTTACATTACAAAAACTTGTCACCAACTGGAAAGAGTGTTGAATTGACTCTGGATACTCCCATAAGTGATCTGTCCCCGTCTTCAGCAGCAGGTGAAGAGTTCCAGTTCTGATGGAACCAGTAACTGTCTAATTGTACATCTGTCTTGCCTTTCGCTTTTGTGTTGAGCAGAGGCCAGATCCATTGGTAACTCCCTGCAACTGAAAGGAGAGGGCCAATCACAGAGTTGAATGGAGACAGGTGATATCTGTAGCAGTGAACCTCAGTGAATTTGAGTGTTAAAGAAGAAGACATATGCATGCATTTGAATGACATTATATCTGTTTATTCAAATAGATTTTGTTTTAAGCCTTTTGTCCCTTTCCCACTTATAATAGAATGTTATATTTCTATTCCTTTTCTTTCAGCCATACAGTGGCCAGCTTTTTTCAGAACATAGTTGCACATGGAAAAGGTGAGTAATTAAAACTAATAAATAAGGTTAGTAAAATTAGTATGTTAGATACTTTTATCACAGATGGCCTATCGTGCAAATGGTGCTAGATACTTATTTTCACAGACCAGTTGGCACTCGATGGGTTAAGTGGTCAGCATGCCATCTGCCTTTACTCCCCATAACTTTCCTTGTACCCCTTTTATGCTCGGTCGACCTCTAAGCCCTAAATCAGTTATAATAGTCTCTGCTCAAGTTATTCAGACTTAAACCTAGACTTTTGGGCAAACATAAACAGGCAGTGAACATTTAGAAGAAGAAGAAGATAATTACCTGTGCAGAACATCGCTCTAATCACAGTCTACCTGAAGGAAACTCAGTCTCTTTCTGGGACTATTCTTTCCAATTTGTCATGGCACTTGATATGGCCAATATATTTCACTTTCTTTGATTGTCTACCCTTCCTAAAATGAGGAGTATGGATGTCTGATGTGATATATAACACATCACCTATCTGATTTGATATTTAACACATCACCCATCTAGTGTGATATTAACCACATCAGTCATCTGATCTTGATTTGATTTGATTTGATTCAAGAACCGACATCACAGCACTCGGGGCATTCCCATAAGCGCTCCATCCCCATCTTCAGCAGCCAGCGAAGAGTTCCGATACTAATGGTGCCAGTAGCTTTCTGATTAAACGTCCGTCTTGCCTTTCCTCTGAGCCTTGAGCTTCTACCAGAACCTCTCGTCACCCCCAACTGCATCAATCTCACCAGACTGTGGTGATCCATCTTCTCCTCTGCATTGTACACGCTCTCCCACAATGCACTAACCACGTTTGCCCTATCATGTAGCAGTATTCCACCAAGTTGTGCAGAGCCAGATCTGAAATTTAACACATTACCCGTCTGATGTTATATGTAACATATTGCCCGTCTGATGTGATATTTAACATATAACCCATCTGATGTGATGTTTAACACATCAGCCATCTGGTGGGATATTTAAAACATCAGCGATCATTTAAGGGTTTTTCATTTTAATTATACATTTTTATAGCAAAATAAACAGTAGCATTATGTATACAAATTCCCAAGCGGGGCCTATGGCCCCCATTTTGGCAGGGAAGGGGGGGGGATAGGCCATCTGCCCCCTGACAAGCATTTTGTAAAAGGTGACTAGGGATTTGCTAAAATCAGATTTGGGGTAAAAAATGCGCAGATATTGCAGCCTAGCATGAAAACCACAACCCAGTGCACTGGACAAACAGCAGAAGAAGAAGTATGAAAATTCCCAGTCCCTTTGTGGGATCTGGGTTTTGTTGTGGAGAAAACAAGAATAGACCCACTCCCTCCCCAACAAGCATGTCGTAGGAGTCGACTACCTGGGGATCTCCCTTTGAAGTTGGAGTGCATCTGCATTAGAGGCAAGGAACCAACATTCTGCATATATTTAAGTCACTTCTGTAAAATGGATGCACACGCAACACTCAGCAAGGCTAAAGTCCAGAGGCGGACAAACAATCAGAACTTTCTGCCAGAGTTTTACAGCAGGTGAATGCAAAGAAGAAGAAAATTCTCAGGACATATATTTGTTAAGCTTAGCTTAAACTATGCTGGTATCAGATTAAGTATAACTAAATGTATGTTAATTGTGTCTTTTCCATCCCCACTGGTTGCAGTTCTGTGTTTGTACTTTATTCCTGCGGCACTGTACTGCCTGTACAACAACTTACAATTTGTGAACCTGTCAGCGTATGACCCCACCACGTACTACCTGCTGCTGCAGTTCAGGGTTGTTGTCACTGGCGTCATATTTCAAGTGAGTTATTGGTGCGAGTACAGTGAAATAAATGGTTACAAGTCTTTAGTTTGTTTGTTTGGAACAAGGGTGGGGAATATCATGCTCATAAGCCATATATGGCTCATAAATAATTTGATCTAGTGCTGCTAAAGCAGCCGCAGAAAGGAGGTAAGGGGCACAAAATTTAATAAAGTGAAAAGCTGTTTATATAGAAACATAAATTTATGTTAAAATAAATGACCACAGGGGAGCTGCATTTGCTTAGAGGCTGGGCCTGTTGGTTGATGATCTAGGCATCAAATCTGCATCGATGTGGATTTTATTTGTCAAAAACTGACCGTGGCTCAGTAAAGGTGGACAGCATGATTTTGACCTCATCACCCATCAAGTGCTCATTGATTTCTAAAGATATGGGTCTAGAACTATATGTCAGATGTGCCCAAGAGGTGAAAATGCTCTTCTACTTTGTTTTAATCACCGAAGAGAAGCAGTTATAGCTTTCACAGTAGGGATGATTTAACAAAATGTTTCACCAAATAAAGCAGGCTAATGTTGAAGATGATAATTCTGTATGGCCAATGTTATAAATGTCTAAATGACCCTTGGCAGACAAAAAGTAATCCCCTTGTTTAGGTTCGGAGATCCCGTTGTGGGGATAAGAAGAATCAACCCACTGCTTCCTCATCAAGCAAGTTGTAAGAGTCGAGTAATTGGGGTGCTTCCTGCAAAGTTGAAGTGCATTTGCCTGAGAGGCAGGGAACCAACAATGTGCATACAAATAAGTTAGATCTGTAAAATGGATGTGGATGCAAGACTCCGGTTCTGGAACAAAACTAACTGGTCCAGAGGTGGATGAACAACCAGAACTTTCTGCTGGAGTTTACAGTAAGTGAACGCGCTAAAGAAGAAGACAATAGGTTTGAAAGTATGTTTACTGAGTCCTGACACCAACAAAGCTGCATTGGCGATAACAAAAATGTGATCAGACAGTCATCAGCAAGAGGGCACTGATCAGACAGTCATCAGCAAGAGGGCACTGATCAGACAGTCATCAGCAAGAGAGGACTGATCAGATAGTCATCAGCAAGAGGGCACTGATCAGACAGTCATCAGCAAGAGGGCACTGATCAGACAGTCATCAGCAAGAGGGCACTGATCAGACAGTCATCAGCAAGAGAGGACTGATCAGACAGTCATCAGCAAGAGGGCACTGATCAGACAGTCATCAGCAAGAGGGCACTGATCAGACAGTCATCAGCATGAGAGGACTGATCAGACAGTCATCAGCAAGAGGGCACTGATCAGACAGTCATCAGCAAGAGAGGACTGATCAGACAGTCATCAGCAAGAGAGGACTGATCAGACAGTCATCAGCAAGAGAGAACTGATCAGACAGTCATCAGCAAGAGAGGACTGATCAGACAGTCATCAGCAAGAGAGGACTGATCAGACAGTCATCAGCAAGAGAGGACTGATCAGACAGTCATCAGCAAGAGAGGACTGATCAGACAGTCATCAGCAAGAGAGGACTGATCAGTCATCAGCAAGAGGGCACTGATCAGACAGTCATCAACAAGAAAGGACTGATCAGACAGTCATCAGCAAGAGAGGACTGATCAGACAGTCATCAGCAAGAAAGGACTGATCAGACAGTCATCAGCAAGAGGGCACTGATCAGACAGTCATCAGCAAGAGGGCACTGATCAGACAGTCATCAGCAAGAGAGGACTGATCAGGCAGTCATCAGCATGAGGGCACTGATCAGACAGTCATCAGCATGAGGGCACTGATCAGACAGTCATGAGCAAGAGAGGACTGATCAGACAGTCATCAGCATGAGGGCACTGATCAGACAGTGTGACGTGACGGGTGGTTTTAATGTTTACAATGTTGAGTAGGGAAGTTCCTCTCAACACATTTCTTCCACCTGATTAACCGAACTAAAATCTGAGCTATGTTGCTCTCAGACAAAGTCCTGGATATCCAAGAAAACAACCATATTGGCTCGTTAAGTACATTAACATTAGCTGAACTTGGTACCCACAAGAGAAGAAAAGGAATTTTAGATGTCTATAGCATTATACTTAATGAATTATTAGACAGGGCAAATGATTCCTCCGTCATCTACCTTCTCCCGGTGTTATTATGAATAATTAAAGAATTATTATATTATTTGAGCCCCCACCAAATGTTATTCTATCCTAACAGTTTAATTAAACATGTAAGAACAGACATTTGGAATTTAACAAACGATGTAGTATAAAACTTGACATACAGCTTTATTTACTAACAATGATATTCCCAGTTTGTTGATTTACACAAACAGTGACTGGTTAATTTGATGCTAGTGATAAGCTTCAGCGAGAAAAACAGCTCGGGGTTTAGAGTGGTATGATGATGATGGTAATATTAACTTAAAAGATGTTAACTTAGCTTATAAGCCTCTGACAGCCGTGAGGAACTGTCAAGCTTGTCCAACTCTTCCTTGCCTGTTTTCTGCCTGTTTCAGGAGACCTCCTCGGTCTCCACCTCGTTCTCCACCTCGTTCCCAGCTGGCCGAGTCTAACACAATGTAGTCTCTTTCATGGACTGATCGTCACATGGGCGCTGTAATTATGGAAACGAAACACATACGTGTAGTATCTTGACTTACACTAAGAATACATGTATCAATTATTGTAACATATAATAATAAAATATATCCCATCACTCCTCCTCATATTCCACATTCTCTCCAGTCTAGTCTGAAGGTCTTTTGTCTTACATGGGCGTCACATATCCTGCCTTCCCTCCAATGCTATGTCATGATAGTTGACTTTCTAAGTCTGTTGTCCGTCATCACTCAGACTTCCAACAACTGGCTGACATTGATATTACATGACCACGTGGAGCAGGGTATGTGCTGAAAACTCAAACACTTTATAGGTGCACGCTGTCCTGAATATTATCGTTCAGTGGCAGTGAATTCTATACACCCATCATTCTTCCCCTGGGGTTATAACTCCCCTGTTTAGGTGAACACAATTAGTGAGCACATGGTGGGCACACAAACGTAGCAGCATCCCTGCACATATTTTGGCATAATTTCCCTCAGTCCCAACTCATATTTTGGCTGATCATGGAAACAATATAATTACATTTCATTATAGCAAATGTCATTGTTCACATCTTATTTTATACACATGAAAACATACACTGAAAAACATGTGACACAAATATACAAGAAATAGGAATAGTTTAGCAGTTCCCTAACTGAGATACTGAATACTCACAAAGAGCTATTTCAAGCAGAATGTGCAGACAAATTAGGAAAAGGTAGTATAGACTAAGCTTAACTCCCTAACCTAAGTATACAAGATTAAAATTAATATTTTCTCTTACCTGGGAACTTTCCATCAATCGCCAAAACAGAATGTGACCGTAAAATACCTTTACGTCGACCTGTGTTTGTTTGCCGGCAGGCTGCGATTAATGACGGGAATTCCACAGGCTCGAAGTATAAGTATCAATCTATTGTCCAAATTAAACTCCTCCCTTTACTTAGTTCTACCCAACCCTCAAGACGATGACTTAAGCCCCGCCTCTGAAGTACCTACCAGATCAAATTAGCTAACAAGTGGCCTGTCAGTCAATTCTGGACTGACATCCCTAGAGCAAACATTCTTAAGTGACCCAATCTAGTTTACAACGAATCTAACTAGCCGGTGTGAAAACGGTCCGTGAAGCCATTGTGTTTACCACTTGACCCAGATCAAACATTCCTAATTGCCAAACACCTGTTCTGCCAAGAATTACACTGACTTGCGAAACTCCGACCTCCCGGCTCCACAATGTCTAGCGTCTACTCAATTTCTACAGTCTGGTCAGGAGATAACATTCTGACACTGGCGTGTGAAAGGAAATTCTCTAGTCCCGGTGTAATTGCGTAACATTACCCAAGACTCAGTCGCTTGGTCTGGACTAAGGACTGGAAACATTTAAATCAATTTGGTTTAAAGTAATATTAGGGTAAAGGGCAGAGTAAATATAATCCTCTCTCTTTAGAACCAGAAGAACTTATTACAAGTACTAACTTCTGGAACCACTGAGATCGTCTCGTGACAGACAGTCATGAGCAAGAGGGCACTGATCAGACAGTCATCAGCATGAGGGCACTGATCAGACAGTCATCAGCAAGAGGGCACTGATCAGACAGTCATCAGCAAGAGGGCACTGATCAGACAGTCATCAGCAAGAGGGCACTGATCAGACAGTCATCAGCAAGAGAGGACTGATCAGTCGTCAGCAAAAGAGGACTGATCAGACAGTCATCAGCATGAGGGCACTGATCAGACAGTCATCAGCAAGAGGGCACTGATCAGACAGTCATCAGCAAGAGAGGACTGATCAGACAGTCATCAGCAAGAGAGAACTGATCAGACAGTCATCAGCAAGAGGGCACTGATCAGACAGTCATCAGCAAGAGAGGACTGATCAGACAGTCATCAGCAAGAGAGGACTGATCAGGCAGTTATCAGCAAGAGGGCAGTGATCAGACAGTTATCAGCAAGAGGGCAGTGATCAGACAGTCATCAGCAAGAGGGCACTGATCAGACAGTCATCAGCAAGAGAGGACTGATCAGACAGTCATCAGCAAGAGAGGACTGATCAGACAGTCATCAGCAAGAGGGCACTGATCAGACAGTTATCAGCAAGAGGGCACTGATCAGACAATCATCAGCACAGATAACCCTGTGACCTTCAGTTGTATGTGACTATCATGATGTATATGTCTTAACTTTGCTCTGATCATTGCTGTAAAAGGCGAAGAAGAAGAAGACAGACTTAAAACACTATTTTAGTAGTGAAACAATTGAACTTCTCTACTAACTTTCTGTTCCATATCTTATATTTTGCAATGAATGTATTCTCCTTTTCAGCTGATCTTTAAGAAACAGCTCAGCTTTATACAGTGGGGATCTCTTCTCCTTCTAACGTTGGGCTGCATCATCAAAGAGATACGTCATGACGTGTCACATGCCGGAACACTATCCACAACACCCACTTCATTCCTGGACTATCTGGACATTCACCTGCTGTTCATTATGCTGCAGGTGAGATTTGCAATACTTCAAATATAAGAATTAAAGGTAAAGTCGGGAGATGTAAACTACGCCTGTGTTGCTGTCCGCACGTAACTCTGGTACCCATTTCCTAGAGGCTGGGTTAACCCGGGAGCTTCCCGGTTTCGAACACCCACCATGGCTGCAGCGAGTCACAGCTGGATTTGAAAGCGAGCCTCCTATCAACTTCGCTAACGCGGTTTTTTTGAAATTATGGGCAAAGTAAAAAAAAAAAAGAAAATAAAATTTTGAAAAAAAGTTGATCGGGTTGATCAAAAGTTTCATTTATCACAGCCGTGCTGTAAATGGGCACAACATAATTACATCCGTGCATAAACTAAGAAGAAGAAATCTTTGAAAGTTTTGAAGTAAAAAATAGGACCAATTTTTCTGGTACTAGTGGTTAATATGGCATATGATACTAGACTCATATGTTTGTAGACCATTTGGCACTTTGTTGGGTAATATGGTCAACATTACGCCGGCCACTTTTACTCCCAGTACATTACCTGGTACCAATTGTAGGCTTAGTCAGTTTGGAAGCCTAGGTCATTTTGTATAAAGGATTTGCCCTGATGAGGATTTGAACCCATCACCCATGAGTAGCCAGTCAAGCATCTGGCCACTGCACTACTGTAGCTGTCTTTAAAAATTTTACTGTTTTGTGAAGGGTGGGTAGCTGAGTGCCCCGCAAATCATTATCATCATCCCCCGTGTGGGTTCCGGGGCCCCATTGTGGGGAAAACAAGAATAGACCCACTGCCTCCCCAAAAGCATGTCCGTAAGAGTCGACTAATTGGGGAGCTTCCTTTGAAGTCAAAGTGCATCTGCCGGAGAGGCAAGGAACCAGCAGTCTGTATTCAAGAGAATGAGATCTGTAAAACTGATGTACACGCAACACTTAGGTTCTGGAGCAGGACTGCAGTTCAGTAGTGGACGAACAACCAGAACTTTCCGCCAGTCTACAGCTGGTGAACGCGAAGAAGAAGATTATCATCATTAACTGCCTTGCCGATTGGTGTGGGTGATCATTCCTCTCCAGAATTTGAGTTCTTCAAAAGCATGTATCAGTTCGTCTGCTGACACCCCTCCCTGTCAGGGAAAAAAAAAAGGCTGTGAAGAATCTTCTTGTACTGTCTTTTTGTCTTTTTTCCCCACAGATCTTTCAAGTGGTAACAATGTTTCGGTTTCGTTCTTCTCATAACATGTCCAAAAAAGGATGACTGTCTCATTCTGATGTTTATTATGAGTTGTCTTCGAGCCCTTGCCTCTTTCAAAGCACTCTTTGGCAGTCCAAGGAATTCCAAGGATTCTTCTGTAAAACCACATCTCTGAGGCCTCAGGAATTTGTTTGGCTTGTTTATTAATTGTCCAGGATTCATGGTCGTGTGTTAAAACAGGCTCCTACAATATTAAATATGTTTTCAATCCTTTGTTAGCTGTGGCTTAGGCTTTGTAAATGTGCTATGTAACTCCGAGGTGCTGGGTTTGATTTCAGCTGCAGGTAGTTTGGCAGCAGACTGCCTTGTGTTGGATTTCACAGTGGTATTAAGAGCCGAGCATCAGAAAGAAGCAGAAAAATATTAAATGTAAAGTTGCCTGGTAAAATCGCAAACAGTCAAAAATTGCGGAGGTCGGTTCTGCACTGTCGTGTAAAGGACACACGACTAACTTAAGCACATGGCAGGAGCTGTAGTAGCACAGCAGAGTTGTAGTGGCACAGTGGCTAGCACATTTACCTGTGTTTAAATCTTCATAGAGGCTGGACTTTTCTACTGACCTGTGCTACCAGGTTGACCCAGCCAAATGTGGAAACCAGGACATTTCCTGGGAGGTAAAGGTGGCTGAAATAATATTGACATCCCCCAGTGAGTGCTAATTTGCTTAAAAATATGAGGCTAGCTCGCGGCAGTCGATGATACTGAATGATGTCACAGCTCCTTCTAAGCTCGTGATTAATGAGACTGGATACCTAGCCTTTTCAGATAAGGGTAAAAAAAAAAAAACAACATAGAAGGATCCATGTAAATTGTATACACATTAAGTCTCAAGGCAGTCAGAAATAGTGTTAAGCAGGTAAAATTGCTAAGAAAGAAAACTTATGCACACATTATGGATTTATATCGGAGCTAGCAAACCTTACACAGTGCTTTCAGTAATCAGACACACCCAACTTTGATGCAGGAGTGCAGACACACACAAAAACATTTGGTGGTGGGGTAGGGAGCGGGAGGTCCTCAAGCTCTTTACAAATTTTTTTTTAGGCTCAGTGGTTCTAAACCTTATTTAAGTGCATAATGATAATATGTTGAATAACAAGTATTTAAAATAAGGTGATTGTAACGAAATTGTGCCCAAAAAGATAGTGACTTCCCTTGCCATTCATGGCTAATAGTGTCACAGAGCCTGTCCTGTGGTGCGGGGGTTGTCACGCTTAGTGACAGGCCAGCGACACAGCGTATTTTGCTCGTTGTTTTCAGTGGCCAGCAATCATGTGTTGTCTATATTCCAAGAAGTAAGCGCTTTTAACGGTCCAAAAACATATAGAACTGGCCCTAAACCCATGCCCCCTATACCACAGCCTCAGTCTACGTCCCACGAGAAAGTGCAGCCTACGTCCCACGACTGCATGCAACTTATGACAACTTATGTCACTAAGGGTGACACCCCTGCAACAAAGGACAGGCCCTGCGACACTACGAGGCATGAATAACAAGGGAAGTCACTCTCTTTTGGGCCTAACTTTGTTACTTGAACCTGAAATAAATATGAAATGTGTAAACAAATACTTATAAAGAGAACCTATGTACATAGTCAAAACCCACTTAGACCCCTAAGCCACCAGATTCCTGTACCCCTGTTATCACAGCTGTTTACTTGAAAGGGGAACAGAAAAGGAATCAAGTGAAGTACAGTAGAGAGTAGTCTCCCAGCTAATCCATTGCTTTTACTATTTTGTTTTGAAGAGTCACTCCTCGGTGACTTTTTGATTGTAACTTCCTTAAATGGTTTGACCCAGGGGTTCTCCTTCTGCTTCGCTGGTGTTTTCACCAGAAAGGGAAACGAAAAAGAAATCAAGTGAAGTACAGTAGAGTAGTCCCCTAGCTATGAAACAAATCTTTCATGGCATTGCCTTTACTATATTGTTTTTGTTAAATCACTCTGTCTTTCCTCAGTGACTCATTGTTTGTAACTTCCTTATATGGTTTGAAACAGGTGTTCTCCTCCTGCTTTGCTGGTGTTTACAATGAGTTTCTGTTGAAGGACACAGGTGTTGATGTTCACATTATGATGGCCAATGTCTTCATGTACCTGAACTCCATAGTGTGTAATGTCCTGGTGCTCACTTTTCGAGGTAAGACAACGCATATGTTTTTTGTCTGTCTGTGATAAAACCCCATGTCGTGCTCAAAGTACTTTAACTGCCCATCCTTCATATCACTCACATGTTTTCTTCATTTTATATGATTAATGTCTTCAGTAAGGAGGAAATTGCCGAGACACAAGCCAGTGAAAGATAGACCAACTTTGTTCTTTTGTGCAAATGCCAGTGGTGATCTGAAGATAAAATCTCTGCTAATTTATGACTCTGATGATCCTAGAATCTTTAAACAACAGAAAATTAACAGACACAAACTCAGATAAATATATCTGAATAAATTTTTATATGAGAATGGATTAATTGATTTTCTATAAGATGTATTGGGAAATAAGAGTTTTGAGAAACGAGCCGCAGTCAGGGACAAATTAAGTTCATTTGTCAGTATGCTTCTATATTTTTTTCTAAGGAAATCTAATATTCATTTGTTTTCTATGGACAAACGTCACATTTTATGTAAATTGTCTTTAGACAATACAGGTTTTTTCTAATCAGGTTTTTTTTTCCTAAAGAAAAAATCTTATATTTTTTTGTTTTCTAAGGACAAAATATTTGTAACATTTTATTTGTTTTCTAAAGATAAAATGTCACATTTTATTTTCTCCAAGGACAAAATCTTATCACATTTGATTTGTTTTTTTTAAGGACAACTGGTTGAAGCCTTCACAGCAGACAGCCTGATGTCCATCATGAAACCGGGAGTGATATCCATCGTCATCAACAACGCAGCCATTGGAATTGTGACAAGTTTGTTCCTTCGCAGCCTGAATTCTATCCTCAAAACCTTTGCTAGTGCCCTTGAGCTCATGTTTACCGCCGTCCTATGCTGGCTGATATTTGGCATTCCAGTGGACCTCTTCACTGTCCTGGCCATCTTTATTGTCAGTGCTGCCACCTATCTTTACGCTCAAAATCCTGTGGTCAACAAAGCCAGGACAGATTTTGAATTGGATGTGAAGAAAAAGAGTGAAGAGAAAAGTGTGATAGCTCTTGATGACTCTCCTCTAGGACACAGGCATAAACCCCTTATGTCTGTTTAGTATTTTAGAGCCCATTTGGTGCCATTCAACTCTTTGAGCACCAAGGAAGGCATCACACACCAATTTGTAATTACTTTCACAGTCCTGATGTGCCGGGAGTGTATTTATATTTTTGTGTTTCTAGTTAAATGTATAGCTAGTAGTAACAGGAAGATTGACCAAGTTACAACTACTGCTTTATTCCCATTTGTCTTTGACCTTTGTATGTGCCTTGTGTGTGTTTTTTTTTTTTTTTAAAGACAACTATATGATTTGTTATGTCTGCTAGTTCTTTCTCTTATCTATAATCTATTAATTGTTATTACTTAGCAACACAAAATGTCTATGAATCACAACACAAAATGTTTGTGTATCTATTGTCATGGTACTTTTGAGTATCATCCAGTGTCATAGTATTTCTCTATTTCATTTATTATCTTTTTTTTACAATATTTCTCTCTATCTTTCACTGTCATTTGTTGCAGTGTTTATGTGTATCATCCGATTATTTGTTACAGTATTTCTGTGTATCCCCCATTCATTTTCACAGTGTTTCTGTGGATCATCCAGTCATTTGTTGCATTATTTCTGTACATCCTCCAGTAATTTGTTACATTATTTTTGTACATCCTCCAGTCGTTTGTTACATTATTTCTGTAGACCATCCAGTCATTTGTTACATTATTTTTGTGGATCTTCCACTCTCATTTGTCACGCTATTTAAGCGTATCTTCCTCTGTCATTTGTCCCAGTACTTCCATATGTCACCTATAACTGTTACAGTATTCATGTGTTATTGCAGTTTAGTAACTACTTAATATGAGAAGCATAATATTTTGCCCTGTAAAATTACATTGATGACTAGAATTCCATTTCTCTGTGTTAGCTTAGAACTTTGCCATACGGGTGTACTACAGACAGTGATGCATGTCATGTGTGCTTTGTTAAAAACGCATGGTGCATTCTGTCAAAAGGCAGGTGAACGATTTTATTGTCCTTTGGGGAGAAAATAAAAAGAGAAAGGAAATGGATCATTCCATTACATATATATATATATATATATATATATATATATATATATATATATATATATATATATATATATATATATATATATATATATATATATATAAATAAGCGTGTATGTGTGAGTTAGTACATGAGGTAAATTTGTAGTATTTAAAATAATATACTGCAGTATCGTATACATCAGGGCTATTCAACTTACTCAAGAGCCAAAATGTTGAAAATGGCGATCATTGCGGGCCAGAGGCTCAAGCCCCAGCATAGAAAGGTCTTGAATGTAACCCAGTTGGCAGTAATCTACGGGCCACTTGCTAAGTCTCTGCAGGCCAGATTCGGCCACCAGTTGAATAGCCTTGGTACACGTGATTACCTTGACCAGACTGAGTGACTGTATGTTATGTCAGGTTAGGTACATTTCACGTACCTCAATGTTGTTAGTAAAAGTTAGCTTGTTACTTTTCTACAATTGCTTATCAAACAAAAATAATATAACCACCTTTATTAGTGGATTTGTGTGTGTGTCTGTGCATGACACTATTGTAACAATTTATCACAGACAAGACATATCATAAAAAAATAACAATTTCATAACAAATGAAGTGGTTTGGACACCTAATAAGAATGCCCTGGTACTATCTGCCACAGTGTGCCACACTGAAATGTTACAACGGGTATAAAGCGAGTGGAAGACCTCGGAAAAGATGAAGTGATGGCATTAGAAACAGCCTTACAGAAATGAACATCAGTCTTAATAGTGCTGTTGACAGAGCTCATCAACGAATGTTACAACTGCCCCTGACACTTCGCTGAGGTACAAGGTGGAAGAGAAGAAGAAGAAGAAGACACATCATGTCTCCTCCCATGAAGGAAAAGACAAATTCTATTTTAATGCTTTAAATTATTCATTGGGTAAATGTACAGCATTATGCTATTTTTGTGTTAAATGCAAACACAAATTTGGTAATTCATTTGCTGAGACACTACAATGTTGATAGTTATTATGATCTATCTGTTCTCTTTTATCTGTTCCCTAGCTTGCTCTGTCTCCCACCCCCATCCCTCTTACTTTATATGTATGTGTGTATAGAAAATGTTGTCCTCTATTAATGGTGTTTTTAGTAGCTTAGTCTATTCAAATTTACAACTCAATAATTTTCTTCTTCTTCGCGTTCACCAGCTGTACACTCTGGCGGAAAGATCTAGTTGTTCGTCCATTCCTGGACTGCAGTCCTGCTCCAGAACCTGAGTGTTGCGTGTGCATCAGTTTTACAGATCTGATTCACTTAAATGCAGACTGTTGGTTCCTTGCCTCTCAGGCAGATGCACTCCGACTTCAAAGGAAGCTTCCAGTTAGTCGACTTTTACGACATACTTTTGGGTAGGCAGTGAGTCTATTCTTGTTTTTCCCACAGTGGGGCCCCGGAACCCACACGGGGATCAGTAATTTTGATTGTTGAAGCTCTTCTAAATCCAGTTATGATGATTGGAATTATTTTGAGTTTGAGATTGTGTACCATATTGTTGATGGAATCTGTGAACCTATTTCATCCAATTCCAATTTAAGATGGAAAAAATTCAAATTAAACGTTACCGCATTCAGCCTGCTGCAATCAGCATTGGCTGTATTTGTGGTCTGGTTTATTGTCTGAGATATGTGTATTTGTTCCAGAATTGATGTCATCTATCTTTACAACCAGCTGCTGACTGTGTTTTCTTTTTTGAGGTTGTGTAGCATAATCCTGATAGAATTTGTGCACTTATTTCTTTATAACCAGACTTCGGGCTGGACACTGTGGTCTTCGAGCACACCTGTACAGGATAGGCATAAAAGAATCTGCTGCCTGTGATTGTGGAGCTGAAAGACAGACCCCTGAACACATTCTGCAGTACTGCCCTTATCTCTCCCAGCAAAGACTGTGGATCAGGCCCAAGGGATCCACATTTCGAGAGAAGCTATGGGGGACCGGAGGCGACCTTAAACGCACAATCCTATTTGTGATCCAGACGGGACTCAATGTTTAGCATGACTGATGTCGAACGCAGAAGAAGAAGAAATAACCAGCAGCAGTTTCTTTTTTGGTTTTGTAGACAAAGATAATAAATGGCTTGTTGATAATCTTTTTTTCTGTCTTTTAACAGAAAGTGATAGATACTGTAGCCTAGATGTAAACCATAACACAATGTGCCAAAACTTTGGACACAGAAGAAGAAGGATCTTTCACTGAGTTAGTCTTCTCTGTTGGGAAATCTATGTGCGATCTGTCCCCCCGGAGCTGCCGCTTGAAGGTTTGACACCCTTAGATTAAAAAAATCCTAGTCTGGAAGGCAAACCAACAGGGCAAATTCCAGATACCCATCGTTCAGTCTCAACTGTAGTTATTATTTAAACACCCCTAACAGCTAAACCAGCCTAGTGTAACCTTCTCTGGAAGGGCAGAATGGTAGATGGGCCTGCATGCCTACTTCTTAACCCTTGGAAAATAAGGTTTGTTCGTTCATTGTGTCCCTTCTGTAGGGGTAATGAGTTTTTGCCAACAGTGGAAAATAGACACCAGCCATACTTGGCACCGTTAGCTGACCTGTTGTTTATCACTTGGCTCGTAACTTCTGAAATTTGTGTGATTACTTGGGTAATGTTGATAATTCAGGGTGTACCCACAGTAACCTGTTCTTTCTGTTGAAGTCTTCCATGTTCTATGAAAGTGCTACCCTATATCCTTGAAATCCAGAACATTTACTTTTGTCTTATTTATGTGAATTGGTTTTACTTTATGTATATCGTCATGGTTTCAGTCTTGTACACTCTGGCTTGCCTAATATTTTGTTTTATATTGTTGATAATGCGCTCGAACGATTTTGCACCTTTCTCTCTCTTTCTCTCTCTCTCTCTCTGTCTCACGCTAACACCCACCCACCCTCCCACACACACACACACATACACCCACACATATGCCACATGCAGGCACACCATTTGTAAATTTTTTTCTTTATATACATGACAGTTGATTGTACTTTCAATCATGTGAACATAATGTATACTTATATGCTATTAATGTTGTCATACACATTTGCACCTTTTTTTTCTCTCTGTCTCTCACACACAGAAAAAGAGAGATTTGTAAATTGTATTTTTTTATATACATGACAGTTGATTGTACTTTCAGTCACACGTCTGGGATATCCATTTTTAACAACAAGAAATAGAAAATGTTATAAACTCTTTTTTTCATAAAATAAATTTGTACAGTGCAGACCACATATGGCGATTTCGGATGTGGTGAATTTCTGTTCTGAAGAACCTTTTGTTTATCACTGGCTGTTTTTCTTGCTTGAACTCTTATCTGGATAAGAGCAATTTCTGATAAGAAGAACTATTTCTTGGGTCCTCGGTGAGTTCTGCTTATCAGCTGTGCACTGTATCAGTCACTATTGTTTTAGATTACTAGTTTAACTTCTTATGTCTCATAGTGTCTTTGTTGAACCCCATAGGGCCAGATTTTTAAAACTGCTTTTTAGCTAAATACTTTGGGGTAGAAGAAGTTAAAGTAATGACTGCCTGTGCTTGAAAAAGTTAAGCATCACCAGGTTATATACAGACTGGTCTCTTGTTTAACTCTTTTGAGTCCCAAGGAACACATCAAACGTTCACAGTTCCTACCTAGAAGCCCAGTTAACGTATGATGCGTACATTGTGTGTCTATTTACTACCACTAGGGCCTGTGATGTTAAACCCACTGGGACTCAAAGAGTTGAGTTCTATCATCTTGTGCACCTTTGTTTCCTGTGGTCAGCAGTTACCTTCAGTCCCATGTGATGTGGTTGTGTCTTGTGTGTTCTCTGCATCTTTTTCCATCAGATTTGCTTGCTGACATTTTCAAGTTATTCCAGTTTCATACTGTGACCAAGCCAACCTAGCATGATTTTTTTGGGTCTGTTTTTTACAATAGTAATTTATTTATGTGTGTAAAATATTTTTTAAGTTTATCTAGGGGATT